ATAGAAAACTAACAGACTAGTATTTCAGGTACTGAAACTTCACAAATTATGGCATAACATTGAAACAAAGGAACAAATGGAAACAGACATAACAAAGGAGACAAATGAGTTACAGAGAGAAGGTTGAAGAGGTTTCATCAGCCATTAGCTGAGATGAGGGGAAGAGAAAAATAAATAATGCTCTGTCCCGAGGTCTAGGGACCACGTTCCTTACAGGAAAGAGTCAATAACCTTCCTCTTCCAGACATAGCTATTCCCTGATGATAGGCTTGACCCCCTTGGGACAGGTGCATGTCAGGAAAAGGAAAACATTAGATCGACTATGGATAACGAGATCTTAGCAATAAAACACAGCCTTTGGTGTCAAACAGATGTAGGCTCCATGCTGTCATTTCCTAGTTGTATAGCCTCTGGCAATTTCTTAATAGCTTCCACATGGGTGTTTTAAGGAGTATATGAGAATAATATATACTAGGTCAGTAAGAATGTCTGATAACATTTGCTCCTTCGCAATGACTTGATAAGTATATCCCTAACTCCTCTGCTTGATGACCTGAAATAGTGATAATCCTTTCTAGTAAAGGGTGAAAATCAGACCTGGGTTGTCCCAACAGTGCCTTGGAGGGACTTATTTAAGAAATTCTGAGTATCATATTCTCCTTGTAAAACCTCATAATGCACATTAGGACATTAAAAGCTAAAAAAAAAATTCTTGAAAGTACAGAAACTAATTTGATTTTGTTTGACGTAGTGTTTTCTGTGTTTGTTTGGCCCTTTGTTTTTTACAGGCAACTTAAGAATTGCAACTCCAACAAATAAGCCTTTACAATTGCCAAGCAGTGGGGTGGAGGTGAGAAAAGATATCAAAATACTCCACAGTATTTTATCCCTTTCCAGGTTATAAAAATTTCAAATAAAAGCCTTTAAAGAATATTACTTGTTTTGTGCCACATGTATTTTGAAGATCCATTAAATGACCATTCTCTACCTTTCTGGCCTCAAAATTCTTTAACACTAAAAATTATTAATGATGGTGAAATGAAGATTATATAGAGGCACAGGAAGTTTGCAAGTGACAGATATGTTATTTTGACTGAAGTGACAGACCATAAGATACTTAGATTTTATGAGCGATCTTGGTAGGCTATTATGTCCGTTGTTTGATCAGAGTAGTTTTTAGTATTATTGTAAAGGTGTTTTGTAGATGTTTGTGTATATACCTAAAATCAGTTTACTTTAAGGACATTAACCTTAACAACATGGGTAGGTTTCATCTAATCAGTTGAAAACTTTAAGAGCAAAAACTGAAATTTCCTGGGAAAGAAGAATTCTGTATTAGATCATAATAGAAATCCTGCCAACTTGCCCTACAAGATCCAGTGTCCACTGTAATATCAATTCTTGCCTGAGTTCCTAACTAGAAGTCTGCCCTATAGATTTTATACTTGCAAACATAGTCAAGATTATCAAAATGGATGTTTTATATATGCAATTTATGTCAAATAAATATCAAAAGTTACTGAGAAATTCAGGTTTTGTTTATGTAAGTTCTGTCAGTACCTACTGAAAAATAGCACTGAGAAATTATATATTTAATATGTTTATATTCATATATGAATATTTTAATACTTGAGGTATATGGTTTTTATTTAAAAAAGAACTAGTGAGAAGGGTGGTATTTAAAATATTTTTGTAAATCTGACTAATATCTGGTTTCAAAGAAGACAGTTGGGATTTTCATATCCACTTCAGCATTCAATATGTTGCAGAAATGTTATTTTGGTTGAAGTATATAAAGAAAATCTGGCATTGATCAGATATATATAGTTGGAAAATGGAGAAGTACTTTAACAGCCCTCTTGGTCCATTTTTATTTATTAACGCACCAAAACTCGGCAAGTGGTGGTTTATTAATGATCAGCTTCAATGTGAAATCTTAAACTTGATCAACAAACTTTCAGATATTGTTTTATTACAATGTAATCAAGAGTATATACAATGAACACTCTTGAATTCTAAATGGATCTTTTATCTATTTTGTCATATCACACAGTGGTCTTCAGAAAATATTGATCCACAGGATAAAGCAGATCTTCCAAATGTTGACACACTCATAAAATAATATCCAAAGAATTATATTGATTAATATCACCAGCCACCTAATCAGAAAGTCTTTAAATATTGGAAAATTTCAGGCTGCTAGTTAACACAAATTTCTGAGCATTCCAACTTTTCATCAAAAGCTCAAGTTTTGTCACCAACAAATGCTGTCAGTTGTTTTCATTGAATAACAGACTCATTTCCACTCATTTTCAAGGAAATATCTGTCAAATGCCAAAGCCTGAAAACCATAATTTTTCTGTTGGCTAGTCTTTCAAAAATAAAAAAGCTGTTCCAGACTGGTAGCTGCCAGAGATAGGGTGGAGAGTGGATGAAATGGGTGACACTCTATGGTTAATATTATTTCAAGTATTTGCACACTTGAAAGGTCCTAAGAAACTAGATGCTAACCGTTCTCATCATAAGGGAAAAAAAAAGGTGTAACTCTTTGTGGGAACAGATTTTAACTAGATTATGAATATCATTTTGCAATGTATATAAATATGAAATCATTAAATTGTACACCTGAAGCTAGTAAGTGATGTTAATTATCTCTTAAGAAAAAAATTTTTTTCATTTTTTTATTACAAAGTTTATTTTTACATCATTTTGCACATTTTTTTTTTTCCATCTCGATTGTAATCCCCGCGGGTTTCCCATCACCAGATCACCCCTGTGCCACCACCCTAGTCCCGTGCATTTCCCTCCCTTCCCCCCCCCCTTTTTTATTCCCATTCCCCACTCCACCCCCACAGAATGTCTCTGGTATATGGTTGTTCATTATTTTTGTTATTTTCTCGCCTGGTCCATTATACTCCTGCTATGAGTGAAACCATCCGGTATTTTTCTTTCTCTTTCTGGCTTATCTCACTAAGCATGATCTTTTCCAGCTCCATCCAAGTTGCTGCAAAAGACATGTGTTTCTCTTTTTTGGTTGCTGAGTAATATTCCATTGTATATATGTACCACATCTTTCTAATCCAGTCATCTACTTTTGGGCATTTGGGCTGCTTCCATGTTTTTCCAATTGTAAATAAAGCAGCAATAAACATGGGGGCACAGGTATGTTTATCAATCAGTGTTTTTGTGTCGAAAAAAAATTTTTTTTAAATGTAAAAGCTGTTCCGTATAAAAAATGGTTAGTTTGTCTCAACAAATGCTTTTCCTCAAGACAATCACCATAATTCAGTATATAGCAGAACTGCGGTATAGCATGAACAGTTTCAGCACACATTATCAAAAAGGGGTAGGCTTCAAGATCAACAATACTAAAATTAATAAATTTTACTGCAAAGTCTTAAGTGAGACTGGCATTTTTTCCTTTCTTTTTTGTTGCAAACACATGGTGGAGAAGAATGCAATGGCTGCTAGCAAAGTTAGATGCCATTGCCCTGTTGTATAGGGGCCAGCAGTGTTAGGCCACCACTGCTTTTGCATCATCAGTGCAAAAGTCAACCTGACGAAGGTTGACTTAACGACATCTTAGTAACACTACCAAAGTTGTTTTCACCATAGAGACCCCCTTCCAGAGTCTCAGGGAGCAGTAGACTAAATTCTGAAAGCCGCTTCTCTAAATAAATATACCTAGGTACTGATAGGACAGTAGAATTATTAGTAGCTATACAATCTGTACAAGGTAGAGCAGTCTTGATTAGAAATAGAGAACCAGGTCCTCCCTAGTAGCACAAGGTGTTAAGTCTCAACTCTATCAAGCTAACACCAGCTGCTGCAGCACGAAAACTCCAGCCAGGAGCTAAACCTGTAATAGCAGACCTCTCCTGTCTCACCTGCTGCTCCCCTAAGCAGTGTATCACAGTGGGTCTGTCTGTTTTGCTCCCTACTTTGTCTCTGGTGAGTCTTCTCACTCTCCATACCCCTGGCCTACACCCCAGTTCTTGTATGCATAAATACATAAATCTTAAAAAAAAAAATTAGGGAACTTGTCTCAATGCTGCATTAGTACATCAAGTTCATTTATCCTTGTGTTTTTTAGAAGAGAGAAATTTATATGTAAGTGGACATTAATCAGTAAAATTTACATATTACCCATATTATCATGGACAATCTATACAATAAAGGCTTATTGTTAAGTGTCTTCATAAGCAAAAATTTTAAGTACTTTCTAAAGACTAAATGTAGAGGGGAGGAGAGTGCAGAAGAGTATGGTGGAGGACTGTTGGCACTTTAATGGTGGGTGAACAACAGTGACTGCACCTGAGCAAAGAAATGCAAAAAAATATGCAAGGATAAAAAAAAATAATAATAAGCAAGGATGTTTAAAAATAAAAAAACAAAAAGAGAATTCTGACTACTAACTAGACATAAGATAGTATGAAAAGATAAGATAGAAAAAAATACTCTAAATTTTCCAATTAATATTTTCTTCAATGCAAAACTAAGCAGAAACGGTTGATAGTTTTAAGAAGCATTCCTTTCAGTTTCAACATGCTACGTAATGAAGTGTAGACATTTGATTTATGTCATAAATCTGTGATTCAAGTGAAATTTACCACATACAATATTAAGACAAATGTCTATAATCACTGGTATCTTCTGATTTTTAACATTAAGTCCTTGAAAGATAAACCAGGAGAGAATTCAGACAATTCAACATGCAATAAATACCCATTAATGACTTTGCAGTGAAAACAATGTCACCCTTTGATGGCATCAAGAAGACTATGAGTCACAGACAAGACAAGAAGAAAAAATTAAAATGAAGAATGTTCAGTTAGGAGCTATTTAGAGTGTTTATTAATATTTATGGAGAAAAAAATTTTTAGCTGTATTAAAATTCTAGTTATAGAAGATACATAGTAGTAACCCAAGTTGTAAAATTAAATTTCAGGCCATAGGAATTAAATTATATGAGAACAAAGTGAAAACAAAGGTCAACTTACTCGATCTGCTAGTCCTCCAGGAACTACAGTCCTCACAACCACACCACTTGATTTTCCACCAACTATTCCAAAGCCTAATCCAGAGCCATCATTAATGAGCTCAACATCTTCAATATGACCCCAGTGAACCTATGGATAAGTGGTAAGAGTTAAACTGTAAGTAAAACACACAGCTTCTTAACCTTGTAATCCAGTAAAATTTCTAAAATAACAGGTAGCAAATTGAACCTTCACATTATAACCCAACTGCAGAACAAAATTCTCCCTCTCAGGAGTTTAGAATAAATTGGAAAGTCATTATGCAATGTATAAATATTCTGTTAAATATTGGAAATATTTCATAAATACATATATGGGAAAGAGCTAATATCCAGAAAGCAACATATGCTAAAACATACCTGAATTGACCCTAGCAGCTAGTACTCATGGAGTATTTATTCCTTACCAGGCACAGTGCTTTACTCTTTGTGTGTATTCTCACTTAATGCTCACAACATCTCTGGGAGGTACACACTGTGATTTGTTTCAACAGATGAAGAAATGAGGTATGGAGAAGTCAAGGATCCTGCCCGCTGTGATACAGCTGGGAAGGCAAGGAACTAGACTTGAACCCACCTTCACCTGACTCCAGCGTCCTTGTTCTTAACCATGTTGCCAAGCAATTTCCCACTTTGTTCATTCTCTATATTATGGCAACTGTGCTGTATAAATATTACTGATTACCACATGGAAAATGTCTATACATCAATTTGTGCTGTGACCTTGTACTATACTCAGTCTATTTTTTCTTTTGTCCCAATGAATAAAAATTAAATAAATCAGCTAGCACTTAGTGTGATAAGAAAATAAGATTTATTAGCTTGTATTCTGAAGATGCAAGCCAAAATCTTTTAAAATGTTATAAAGCAAGTTTAAGGATTCCCAAAAGAGAGATGTGCTTTTACCATTTTAAATTGTGCAGTATACATTCTTACTTACAAAAGACATCTATAATATGCAGTATTAACAATCTTCATAAACAACCAATATCATTTATAAAATTGTTTTTGAAGTAACCAAGTCTTACTTAAGATATTCAACAGAAAATCTCTAATAAAAATTCTCAGCTTAATTAATTAACTGGCTACATTACCAAGGAACACAAAATTCTTTCCATCACTAAATAAATTACACCCCTCCACATTAAAAAATAATCTTAAATAAGGAGAACCACAGGACATTAAAAAGACCAGGGGAAAAAAATAAAATAAAACCTCCCTGAGTTATTTCTGAAATAACTTATTTAAAATGCTAATTTTCATTTGCAGATAGGACTATCTTTCTTAGACTGACACCTTCTAACTGTCTTTGTACTTCTTAAAATCAATGGTATAATTCAAAATGAGGCATTTCCCCAAATTATACCTCACCGTTTCAGGCAGACTTGTCTCGGTTAGGCTGGTAGAACTACTATTTTGGGTGTGGACTGGTTCCCTGGCCACAACCAGACGCAAAGATCCAGAGGTCTGTTGCAACAGTGCAATTGCTTGCTGATGGGAAATGTTCTGATCCAGTGGTGTGTGATTAATAGCCAATATTTGGTCATTTTCTTTTAACCTTTGATCCCTTGATCAAATAAGAAAATTTTGTTTTAAGTGATACGGTATTTTAAAAAAATCTATTATTCAAGTTCAGCAGTTTATTTTATTAGGTACACTTTACTTAGTACATGTATTCAGATTGATTATTTAATCAGCATGCTTCACCATCAAAGCACTTATTAACTAATTAACCAATGGAGTAGTACACACACACCGTCACTTGATTAGAAAGTGATGACAACATATAGGACCCCCAATTCGCAAGATTTTGCAAGTCCTTTACTGCACAAACCCAATACTCTTTCTAGAACCCTTTCTGACCTGACTTCAACATATACCACACTGGGATAATTATATTCTCAAACTTGGCATCCAAATGCCACCTTAACCTCCTCTCTAGCAGATTTGTCCTGTTTCTATCACCCTTCACCTCTACAACTTCTGTTAACAGAGGCCCAATGCTTCTTCCTTAAATCCATAAAAATTATTTCCAAACCTATATTTAAGGCTTTTCTCTGCCTCAACCTCCAATCTTCTGACTGGTAATCAAATTAGCAAAATTACTTAAGGAAAAAAAAAAAAACTATTAAGTTAGTATTTACTGATGCCAAGTACTAAAGCTTTATAAGCATTCTCTCACTTTACCTTCACAATCAACTTTTAATGTCTTTAGTTAAATTTAACATTGAAAGAATTAAAGTGTGGACAAGATAGCATTTTATCTAAATAGGCTGACTAAAGCATACTTTTTAACTTCTTAAGTTAGTGTATCCTAATGAGATTGGAGGATTTACTGTATCTGACTTCATTATCTGCTAAACTACGGCTCCTCCTCCTGGTTCTCCATTATCATAATTCTCTTCTCCTTCTGTATCTCCTTTGTATCCACCCTTCCATTCCATCAGATACTTATCTAATACTTAAAAACTAATTGAAAATTTCCCAAGGCTTATTTTGTGTCTAAGCAATCTTCACGTTGGAATTGTACAACTCAAAAATGTATAATGATTGTATATCATCACTGACCAATAAGGAGAAAAACAAAGGAAATAAATGGCTGGCAGGACTGTTGCAGAAAAAAACATTTTTGACCTTCACAACACAAAGTCTCCCTGAGAAAAGGATTTATTTCAGGAGAGAGAATTCATAAATTTAGAACATTAGAAATTCCATATCATATTGCCTGTTTTTCAGAGTTCATAACAGATTAGCAAAACTTTATCATGAAACAGAATTTGGTAACTTCTGGACTCAAGGACTCAACTCACTCACCTTGGCATCCAAAAGCTACTAACTTTAGCCCAAAAGATCCTTCAACTTAGCTTTCTCCCCTTTTCCAAATGCCTTGGAGTCCTCTTTTCCCCTCCATGGTGACTGCCATTTCTGCTCAAATTCAGTCCATCCTTCAGGACCTAGCTTGTCTCTATTACTCGTCATGATCTCTAAACCACTCATTATAACTCACTGAAAATTCATGTAACTAAGTAAGCAGAACTAACTAAATCTTACCTTATTAGCTTAAATTTTCTGGGGACAGATATCCATGTATGTTAGATACTCTGTTGGAGCTAGCAAGTTAAACGTTTCAATTTTTGAAACCAAAATTGTGGGCATCTCTCACGCTAGATCATCTAGTATAGAAAATGCTGCTTGAAGCTGACTATAGATCTGAGACATACTTCTGGGGAGGGAAGAGCACAAGGGACTATGGAGATGGGTCACAGGTGCTGTGGTAGTGGGATCATGTGCTATGGGGACTAGACTGAGGGGAGAAATCAAATATTGTCTGAAAGCTAATAATAATGTAAGAAAATAAATGTTTAAATATTAAAAAAAGAAATTTAATTAATAAATAAAATGAAATGCTATTTACACATCTCTTTATTAGTGGTTAGAAAGGCTTACAAACCCTAAGAATAAGAAAGTAACCTATAACCAAGGCTTTACATACAGAAAACATTCTAATGTGTGTCCTAGTTATCACAGAGTGGTCAAAGACCCAGTGGTTTTATGGGGGCCTTTTTCTTTTTGCATATTGCTACATTTTATAATTTTCTACTAAATGGATATATTACTTTCATAATGATTTTAGAAATTATGAAATATTTTTTAAATTGAGAATGTGATTGTGAAGTTTTTCCCAATTCTAAATAAATAAATGTGACTAGGACAGGACAAAGTCCAGGAATCACTTCCATCTTTCCATCTTCATTTCTCTACGTTCCTCACCTAAATCCTGATTCAGTTTGTTCATTTAGGGAAGCTCCCTAATTCATTCCAAGTGAATGAGTTACTCTTGAGTCTTTTCAACCCTAATGTAACTCACCCAGAACTTATGCACAGTCAAATTTTCCATTTTTGGAAATCAACCTATTTTATTAATAGCCTACCCAAAGTGATCTCAACATGGACAATAAATTAAATGATTCCCTAACTACAGGAAGAGAATAGTTTCTCAAATCTTTGTGATTACTACTATAGTTCCTTAGAACATACTAGAAGAAATGTGTTAGATGGCAAGATAAGATGCAAAGTCATGAAAATCTGTTACTGAGGGAACTCAAATTGATCCCCCACAAACAGAAAATTGAATTCCAAAAATATATCACTGACTGAGAATCTTTGGAGTAGTAAGTACTGCCACTGTTGCTATTATTCTACATACATTAGCAAAGTAATGAATAGTATGCTTGTTGAATGAGTACTAAACCAAAGACCTACAACTAAAGAGATAAAATATAAGGCTGGCAAATACCCTTAAAAAATAAAGATACACCATATAGGGAGGCTTTTATTTGATGATAAGTGAAATAATATTGTCCCATGATCACCCAAAAGTTGTTAATTCTTAAATTAATAAACAACATTGTATGCAGATCGGGAATTTCAATATCCCATCCTACTGATCAGACTGTAAATTCCTGAGAGAGTGGTGCAGTAAAAAGAGTACTGGCTTTGCAGTCATTCTTGGAATCATTATCATGGTTCCAGCATTAATAGCTTCAACTTTCTCCTCTATAATAATGGAGTAACTGCTGCCACAATTATACAAAGCATCCACAAAAGGCTTAGCAACTAAGTAGGAAAGTCAGTGTTATTACTAGTATCAGCTAACATTGACACCAGTATGTATATCTGTTAGTTTTTAAATCTTGACAACATTTGCAGATTGTCAGAAAAAAAATCAGCAAAGCACAAATGGAACATCCTCCTCACCTATCTGCTATACTCCCTGGCTGTACTTCCTTCACGAAGATATCGACCTCTCCCAGATTTTGACTTCTAAGGGCGACCACACTGAATCCAAGTCCTCCAGTTAAAGGCCGTTCTATGTCTATATATTCAATCTGCCGGCCCTAATGAAAAGGGATTAAAAAAAAAAAAATCAATGAAGTACATTTACCCAATTTATACTTTCCAAGGAAATGAAATTGCTATTTTGTGATCTGCACGAAACAGCTTCTTTTCATTCATTTCAACAAAGCCAAACGAATGCAGCATTTCAGTAATTATTATTTCAGGAAATCCCTCATTTGATTATTTTCAGCAGGATCTAAAAGGGAATGTGCAGTATTCTGTAACCTCCAGGAATCAGAGGTATTTCGTACTTCATTCACATTATGAACTGAATCCCAAATTGGATGAAACTCCTGAGAAAAATGTTCATTATCACAGTAAGTCCTAAATTACTTTGCACATTGACTTTCCCTAAATTCTTTTATAGCAAAATACAGCTTTAAATGAGGAAAGCAAATTAGATCTATAAAATATATGATAGTGTTCAGCATTAAGTCATAACAAGTGGCATCTTTCAGGGTGGATTAACTGTGGAATCTTTAATTCCACAGTGAAGAATATTAAATGTTACTAGGTTAAATCAAAGAACTATGGAAAGGTTATCATTCAAATAAGTTCTAGAGGTGATAAACATATATTTTACTGTTAGTGAATAGTTACATTTATAACACGAGAACTTCATAAATGAAATTAACTAAAGTATCACATAAAAATAACTATTAGTCAAATAAAAGAAACAGGGCCCTCCCTGGTGGCACAGCAGGTTAAAGTGCAGCACTAAGAAGTAAGTCACAGCCACTGCAGCACAAGCTCAATTCCCAGTTGGGAAGGTCACCCATATGGCATGGCAGACCTCTCCCGACCCGCAAGTTGTTCCCTCCCTCTGTCTCTGGTGAATCCTCTCACCCCTCATACCTCTGGTCTGTACCCCAGCTCTTAAATACATAAATAAATAAATCTTAAAAAAAATAGAACTTTAAAAAAAAGTGAATCAGGTATAAAACAGTATTTAACTATCAGAACTTAATCAAAAATTTTTAAAAAATTTATTTATGCATACAGAACTGGAGTATAGGCCAGAGGTGCAGGGGAAGTGAGAGGATTCACCAGAGCAAGAGTGGGGAGCAAAACAGGCTGACTGTCGAAGTACACTGCTGAAGGGAGCAGCGTGTGGGTCAGGAGAGGTCTGCCGCGCCATGTGGGTCACCTGCGGGGCAGGGATGCCGAAGCGGCTTTAGCTTCTCAGTGCTGTGCTTTAACCCGCTGCATTACCTGGGAGGGCCCAGAATTAAAAATCAAATTTTTAATGTTACTTATTATTTTTTATTGGTAAGTAGATATTTTCTAACTTTCAAATTGGACTAATATTTCATATACTTCTCTAGATTTTACATAGTTCTAACTCCAATTAATTGTTTTGATACAAAATTTAAAATATATTCAAATATTTTCAAAATATTTTCAAATTCATCACTTCTAGTAGACATAAATTTGCTTCCCATGATCAAAACCTTAAGAATTTCTTTCCTGGGCCTCCCTGGTAGCACAAGAGGTTAAATCTCATCATTATGCAACACAAATCCCAGTTCATTCCTTGGCCAGGGAGCTGGTCCACATGGTGCAGCAGACCTTTCCTGTCTCACCTGCTGCCTCCAGCACTGAAATACACCATCCGATTCACCACTCTGTCTCTGGTGAATCCTCTCACACCCCACACCTCTGGCCTATACCCTAGTTCTCTGATGTAAAAAATAAATAAAATATTTTAAAAATAATCTCTTTCCTTACAAGAGTAGAGAAGTGTCAAATTGGAGTTACTATCTAAAAACTTCTCACCACACACATGGATACTTCCCTTACATAATTTTAAGTCAATGTTTCCAACACAGTGGTTAGGAGATGGTATCAAATCCTACTACTACTAATAATAATGATAAACACAAGCAGAAAAAACATAGTTATATTAAAGGCAAAAAAGAGCACATGGAGATTTCTTTTTTTTTTTTTAACATGTAAGAGGAGAGAAAAGATAAATATTTTCTTGACAAGGCATAATTTTACCTGAGCCATTTGTTGAATGACTGAGTTAAATTCTTCATTTCCTGACTTAGAGTCCCAATGAAATAACCCAGATGCAGAGGCCCTCTGGGCACTCCCACTAGTTATGGCACTATCTGTGAACACTAATAAACCTTTCCTGGAAAAATCAAAGTTGGCTGAACAATCTGAGGGTATGTGGCTGAGCTGTTGGGAGATAAAAAAAAGAGAATCATGAACAGAAACCTATAAAAATTATTTTTGTTTATTAGCTATATTTTGCCCATCACATGTACTTTGCACATTAGCTATATACATGTAAAAGAAGGTACAGATATATTCACCTGTGATTGAAAGACTATACATTTTATTTAGTATTACAAGAAATGTTTAATAGCTTAAAATGTGTTTGTTCCTGCCTCCACCATTAGCTCAATTTCATAGCATATATGACAGCTCATTACACTAAATGCAGAGATACATCCACTCCTATAAACAGGCCTATAAGACACTGAACCCTATTGTATTGATCTATACAGTTCCATGTGGAAAGTTACAAGATTCATAAGCAGGGTATTACGAAAGTAAGATGATTTATTGAGGACTTGCAACTATGAGCCAAGTATTATACCAAAACTGACATATTATTTCATTTATTTCTAACCACAACCCTATGAGCTCATTACTACATTTTATAAACATGAAAACTGAGACACAAGGGGGTAAGTTACTAGCCCACAATTAGTACCAATGAATCACAGAACCACTTAGTAAAAGGGAGAGAATCTCATAATTGCAGGGAAAGGAAAACAGGTTAACTTCCAATAGAGCATAGGCTAATCCATGCACCAGCAATGGAACAATCGTAACATCAAGAATAAATGTCAACAGGACTTTGTAGAGAAAAATCAACAACGACAGAGTCTCTGAAAACATACCTAGGAATAAACCACAGGAATTTTATAGCTGAACAGATAAAACAGGATCATGTACACAAAAACTACATAAATGTAAAAGACTGTTATTATGTTGAAGTGGTTGGTTAAGTCCACTCTTAGACCAGTGGAAGTGATAGATTTATAATGACCTTTCCCAATTTTTAGTGCCACCAATGGCTTTCAAAGTTGTACTATATGGAACTCACTCTATACAGAGAACTAGCCTTTGACAATGACAATGCTGCACAAAAAGACATATGTGTAAAGTATAATTCTTGATTTTTCTTTATTTTTTAAAAGCACTACTTTAAATTTTTATGGGTCAGGATTTTGGCTTATCAGAAAAATAAAATATTTCCCCCAAATTTTGCTCCTTTTTATTTAACTACTATATTATCTCCAATTATAATTAAAATTCTACCTAAGTGCAATCTATAAAATAGCTACTATTCAGATTTAGCTTCTAGAGGATTTAAAATTAACTTAACCCAAATTCTAAAACACAGCAACCAAGAGGAAAGATAAAAGTGTCAATTTACATCACTCTAAATAGATGCATCTTGTGTCCTAGAATTAGCAACCATGTATTTAGAGCCGATAAGTTTCTTTCTTTCTTTTTCTTTTCCTTTTTCCTTTCCTTCCCTCCCTTCCACATTTCCTTCCCTCCAGCTCACATTTCCTCCCTCCCTCCCACCTTTCCTCCCTCCCTCCCACCTTTCCTCCCTCCCTCCCACCTTTCCTCCCTCCCTCCCTCCCATCCGTCTCTGTCTGTCTTTCTTTCTATCTTATCTATCTATCTATCTATCTATCTATCTATCTATCTATCTATCTATCTATCTATCTATCCATC